AATCAACGACTATCAAAACGTTTATTACATCTAGATAGAAAAAACCTCAAAATAATGATAGGGACAATAACGGGTCATTGTCCATTAAACAAACATTTATACACAATAGGAGCCACAGACAGCCCTCTATGTCGAGGCTGTTTCGACGCTGAAGAAACAGCTGCTCACGTAATCCTGGAATGTGAGGCTGTGGCCCATCAACGTTTAGAAATCCTCGGAACGGTGAGGTCGCTCCGTGAAGCCTGTGAAGAACTCAGGAAGCTTCTGCGCTTCTGGGCGGAGCTAGGTTGGCTGTACTAGCCACGACTCACACGCACAACGGCCCAAATGAGAGGCTAAGTGCGGAAAACAGAGTCTTTCTTACATTACATTACATTACATATGAGTCATGCTGTTGATTGCAAGCAACATAAGTACTAATTAAATGTAGTAATCACTAATGCACTAACAAAAGCACTAACGTTTTTCCTACTGGTAATTCTATTTCAAATCCCTGTTTTCCAGTCCTTCTACTCTTGCTTACCTACTAATTTGGTTACGTTGTCAAAAAAATAAGCAGACACTGTATATGCTTTTTAAGTATATTGAGTTTTAAAATAACTAAATATATACTAACTCTCAATCGCGAGCAAATAATAGCGCGATAAAATAACTAATTTTAAAATGCAAATATTTCCATTACAAAATGCATGATGTGTTGTTGCATCTAATTCTAGGAAATTCTCAGTGGCAAAACTCTTTATTAAGATAAGGTTGAATATATTATATACATTTTAATATAAAAAAAAAAACTTGTGTCGTTATATTCGCTCACACTGATCTTTAAAACCGCTTTATCGATTTTAATGAAATAAATGCATATACGTAGTTTGCTTCAAATTGTGAGGATAGAACAACATTAGCCAGATCAGATATTTTAATATAAATAAAAATTCTTACTAATATTATAAATATGAAAGTGAGTTTGTTACCTTTTTGGCGACTTCACGATTTAACAAATTACTTTGAAATTTAATTTAAACGTACTGTATGTAATAAAGAAGGATATAGACTACACATAGGTAAATAACTAATGCAGATAAAGTGATAGCAGGTCGCACACTATCACTTTTTTCTTTAATAACAGAGACTAATCGTGAAGCGGGTATTCAAGGTATTGAAATCGGGGCCGTCTGTCATCCACTATAGGAGCTGGAGGAGTGGGCTGTCGTCGATCGAAACCATTTTTACTTTGTACAAAAGTCATTTGCTTTAGCATCTCTGTCCCATTCGTGTTTCTACCGTGAAGCATTTGTTTTTTTTTTTTTTTTTTTTACAACACAGGGGGCAAACGAGCATGCGGCTCACCTGATGGTAAGTGACTACCGCCGCCCATGATCACCCACAACACCAGCGGCATTGCAGGTATGCTGCCGGCCTTTTAAAAAGGAATATACTCTTTTCTTGAAGGTTATGTTGTCGTATCGGTTCGGAAATACTGCTGCTGGAAGTTGATTCCAAAAAATGGTTGTGCGTGGAAGAAAGTGCCTTGAAAAACGCACGGTGGAAGACCGCCACTCGTCCAGATGATTGGGATGAAACTTTAGTTTGTGGCGGGTTGTACGGTGGTGAAAATCAGCAGCAGGTATCAATCCGAACAATTCCTCAGAACACTCCCCATGATAAATTCGGTAGAAGATGCACAGAGACGCAACATCTCTGCGCAGTTTCAATGGGTCAAGTCGGACAGTAAGGCGTTGACTATCGATAATTCGAGCCGCCCGACTTTGAATGCGGTCTAACGGAAGGAGTTGGTACTGTGGCGCTCCTGCCCACAGGTGAGAACAGTATTCCATATGCGGCCTGACTTGGGCTTTATATAATTTCAGGCGGTGTTCTGGCATGAAATATCGTCTCACCCTATTGAGCACTCCTAACTTTTTGGAAGCTATCTTAGCCTTCTCCTCCAGATGACCGCAAAACTGGACGTCGCAAGATATATCAACGCCCAGAATTCCTAGACTTGACTTTTTATCAAGGGAAGTGCCCTGAAAGTGAGGAGATACGACAAACGGCGTCTTTTTTGCGGTAAACGCGCAGACTTGTGTCTTTTTGGGGTTAAATTGGACAAGATTTTGTTCACCCCAGATCGAAACTTGATGGAGTGAAGTTTCGATTTCAGACACAAGTCTATTCCGGCACTCATCGGTATGTGCCCGCGAGATCTTTGCATGACCGGTATATAATGTATCTCCTGTACTGTCGTCCGCATAGCAATGAATATTACTTATCTGTAACATATCATTGATATGCAGAAGAAACAGAGTCGGAGATAGTACACAGCCTTGCGGGACACCAGCATTCAAAGGTTTTAAATCAGAGCATGCACCGTCGACTACGACCTTAATGCTACGTTCCTTGAGAAAACTGGCGACCCAAATGCACAGTCTCGCAGGCAACCCAAATGAAGGTAGCTTTGAAAGCAGCGCTCTATGCCACACCCGATCAAAGGCCTTCGCAATATCCAGACTAACTGCTAAGGCCTCTCCCTTACTCTCGATTGCCACTGCCCATCGGTGTGTTAAGTAAGCTAAAAGATCACCGGCCGAACGTCCCTGTCGAAAGCCATACTGGCGATCACAGATCAGCCGGTGCTCTTCTAGGTACCGGAGCAGTTGACGGTTAATGATGGATTCCATAACCTTCGAGAATAAGGAAGTGATAGCTATGGGCCTATAGTTAGCTGGATCTGAGCGATCTCCCTTTTTAGGGATCGGATGCACCAGAGCAGTCTTCCAAAACTTTGGGACTATGCCCGATGAGTAGCTAAGCCGAAAAAGACGCGTAAGAACCGGAGCCAACTCTGGTGCGCACGTCCTAAGCACAATTGGAGGAATACCATCAGGCCCACTCGACTTATGGATTTCGAGAGAGAAAAGTGCTCTACGCACTGAGCTATGCGTGAATTTAATGTCAGGCATAGAGCTCCTACAACACGTGATGGTCGGTGGTGGTTTCTCCCCGTCATCCAATGTCGAGTTTGACGCAAAGATGGATCCAAGAAGATCGGCCTTTTCTTTAGCGTTCTGGGCCAACGAGTCATCCTCCCTGCGCAAAGGTGGAAAAGATGACTTACAGAAATTCCCTTGTGCAGCTTTGGCAAGAGACCAGAAAGCTCGAGTCCCAGAGGGCAAACTAGCCAGTCTCTTGCCAATTCTACTAATATGCTCTGACTTCGCTGTGGCTATAACTCTTTTGAAAGACCTAGAGGCAGAGTTATACTTCTTTTTAAGAGCACTGGTGTTAGGATCTCGCGACGCCACACCTTTAGCCCAGGTTAGGAAGCACTCCTGTTTCAGACGAGATGCTGTTCTACAGGAGGCTCCATACCAGGGCTGGGATTTCCCGCCGACGGGCACCACAGAGTTAGGAATAAATAATTCCATTCCCTGAAGCACCACATCAGCAATGGAATCGGCAATGGCGTCGGGATCATCCAGTGTGAAGCAAACCTGCCTCCATGGGTAAGATGCGAAAAAAATCCGCATCTCATCCCAATCCGCCGACCTGTAGTGCCAAATGCGACGTCTACCCGTAGAACGAGGTGGAGTCGGACTCGTAAGAGGCACTTCGCTCCGCACCAAACAGTGATCCGACGATCCAAGCGGGGCTTCGACGGAGATCACATAGTTGTCTGGGTGGGTGGTCAGCAGAAGGTCCAGCAGTGAAGGTGAATGATCCAACACATCAGGGATTCGCGTAGGCGAGGAAACAAGCTGTGTCAGACCATAAGCCAAAGCAAAGTCATGAACAGATCTTCCCGCATAGTCGGTTGTACGCGAACCAAGCCATTCGGCATGGTGGGCATTAAAGTCGCCAACAATCACGACTTCAGCGGAAGGAATCTGCTCAAGCAGGGAATCTGTAGCCATTTGGACGTGCTCAATTAGTTGGTCGGTTTCAGTGTTACCGCTGTGGGACCTGTATAGGCACGCATAGATGCGGGGATGGTCATTGCAATCTACGCGCAGCCATAGAATGGACAGGTCCGTACCTTCAAGAGTCCCAAGGCGTCGACAGCAGATATCCTCTCTGACATACGCACATACACCGGCACGCGAAACAAAACAATGTTCAAGCTTATACCCCGGGTAGGTCAGGTATGATGTTTCGTTAGGAGGGGATATCTGTGTCTCCGTGAGGAAGAGCAATGCCGGCCGCGCCGTTTCTAGGTGGTGGTGGACAGCGTTCAGGTTTGAATGAATTCCCCTAATATTACAGAGGCTCACATTGAGCAAAGGGGATGCCGCAGAAGTCTTGCTCTGTTTGCCCTTGGTCCCATAGAGCGGAATTTTGCCCCCCCAGAATACGCAGGGCAGCCCGAGCGTGGTTGCTCGAGGGAGGATTCTCCAGCAACATGGCTGCTGGTACCTCCCTGGGGTACGTTATTTTTTTTAAATTCCACTGCCATGGCATTGAAAGATGGGGGGACGGAGTTGGGGGAGGATTTTAGGATAAGGAAGGGGATGGGTATAGGATGGGCCTCCGGACTCCCTCACTCACCATACGGAATGTGGTCGCACTAAAAGTGCGGCCACTTAGCGTCGGTATTCTGTGAGGGTGTGGTACTTCCCCGGTCGAGCCGGCCCATTCATGCTGCAATACCATATGGTATTATTTATTATTATTTGTGTTTGCATGGTTGTGTTTCGGTTTGAAGGGTAGGATATGGCAGTCAGTTTACAGGGTACAGAGGAATAACACCTGAGACCTCAGAAATCGCAACGCATGGGGGAGGGGTATCATGGGCGAAACAGTATATTCTGTTATGTCCAGGGGTTCTCATGTCTATAGGCGACGGTTACCACTTTCCATCAGGTAGGCCGTTAGCTTGTTTGCTATTCTAAGTTGCATAAAAAAAGAACCGTGTTGGTGTAGGGCATCGAGATAAAACAGGTGAATTTAATAAACACAAATAATAATAGCATTAGGTTAAAAAGTATTAAAAAGAAGACTATTTCTACAAGCATTTATTTTAGTATTTATTTATTATAATTTATTGAAATATAAAAAAAATCTAATAAAACATCAATAAAGCAACCAACGAATTAAAATGTATCTTTGTTATGCTAGGATAAAAAATATATAATTAAACAAAATATTATTTAGGTAGCTCTGTACATTTCAAAGTTGACCTACGTTTCGGCAAGAACTCCAGATCTACTGCACGTTCTCTTTTTTTCCCTTGTTCAATTCTATTATTATATCTGAATTGAGACCCTGCTTTCTGTGAGGCAGTTGCTATAATAGAAGCTACAGTGAATGAAGGATGCGGCAAATCTGGCAATTGAGATATGTAGTACTCCCGCATTTTCTGTTTTTCATCTGAGTCTTTGACGCATTCGCTTAAGTTGGTTTCAATTGTATCACAACTATTAAATCCAAAGGAGCTATCACTATTCGAAACGGCCGAGTCACTAGATGTTACGTTAGACGTTTTGAAGTGTGGTTGGTGATAAGATAGCCTTAGATGTGAGTAATCGTCTATGAAAAAACCCGATATATTATCTCTTGTTGACAGCATTTCAGATGTTTCCGTTTTATTTTCTTCTGTGTTCATTTTCGGTAGAATTATGATACTCAACACTAAAAACAAGTAATAGAATATGATAAGTCGAAATGCAGTACTAATAAGTTTATTTGCAAATATGTATAGGTAGTTACTTGTCGTTATTAAACTTTAGGTAAATTGTAACTACCCTGCAATTAATTTATAAATTAAGTACTCATAATCTCTATGGATATATTAAAAGAGTCAGTATAGCTTTATTTTAATGGGTTTATAAAATGTAATAAAGAAATTTTAGATAAGTAATATTTGATAGAAGAAATAGTATATTGTTATTTTTACGTGAAATAAAAATTACAATCTAAATTAGTTACAAACTATTACTATTCTTAGTTTATGGTTACAAACTAAGGCATTATTTTTAATCTATAATTACAAATGAGGAAATTATACAAAGACGTCGAAAGAGAATGCTAGATGTTATTCTTATTCTATGCACGAATTGTAATAATTGTAAATCGGAATATCTATCTATTAATAACTTTGTTTCTTTTAGGTAAATATAGGAATTGAGAAAACTATTTAAATTTTTCGAAATTTATAATATTTATAAATTTTTATACCTTAATACAATAGTTGCAAATTTATTCGGGATTAATCGATACAAAATTGAATTAACACATAATAAGTTAATGGATGAGTCTATAAATAACCATTGAAAATCAGCAGCTTTAAGTATTAGATTATATCTGTCTGACTGATATTTTTATGTGCGTTGTAGAATTTTCAATTAAAATTACATTTTACCAAATCGAGTAGTTAAAATTAAAAATGCTTGTAAATTATTCATTCACAAATTTGTATAAGTCGCAGTGCTCTTTTTTATTACATTACTACTGATCTGTCTCTGATAGAAGAATTAGTTCTGAAATGAGCTTTTACTAGTTCGGAAGCCAGGGACTTCAGACTTTAATTACTGTATAATTTATATCAATAAAGAGATATTATTATTATAAAGAGATTTATTATTATTATTTGATCATAGTGGACATTTATTTACAGGGCTGTGCATTTTGATACAACTACATCATCTTGTTTTTTACAGGGTTAGGTATGTTTGATAGAATAGGCGTAGGTATATTAAAGTGTAGGCGTAGCTTACATCCATATATTTGTATAAATCATTAGTCTTGATTGAGTAAGTGGGTTTTTAATTTAATTGTATTTTTTTACTTGTACTACACAACATTTAATGAAAAGACGATTAAGTTAGGAGGTAACAAATATAAAAAAAAAATGCAATTTAATTTAGAACCCTCTCCGTTTTTAAGATTAGTTGAAAAATATCTAATGACTTTCAGTAGATCTATTAAACATGATGTTATAATTTTTTCGACCAAGTGTAGTATGAAGATATGTCCTCTTATAAGAACTAAAACTTGGCTGGGAAATGTTAATAGGTTACACCTACAACGTAAAGTAATTTTTTAAGACAAAAATGTAATCTTGATATGGTTATTTATACAAAGTGTATGCAACTTTCAACTATATATTGATAGTGTACGGTTTATAATGTTTTTTAAGATATCTACTTACGTTACTGTATTAACCTTTTTTTATCTTACACTTCAGTGGTCGAAAGAGATCGATCTATTATCTTATCATTTCAATATAAAAACTCGGCATTCTCAGTATCCGAATCATTAGTTACCAGTTACGGTTTCAGCAAAGATGAAGGCCTTTATTGTACTCCTCGCTTTGGTTTCTCTCGGGTGCTCAGCACCTCAACAGCGAAAGGTCTTCCACGAGCATGTTGAAGATTTTCTAATTCTTATCGGAGACAGAGTCGGCCAGGAGTTGACAGAGCTCGCGTATCAATATTCGGAATTTGACGAGTTCCAAGCATCTCTCGATTACTTAGCGTCGACAGATTTCAAAAATCTCGTATTCGAGATGGAAGCTTTGCCTGAATTTAAAGCTGTAAGTAATTTAAATAATTATTAGTACACATATGCATACATACATGACCTCAAGATACGATAATGACGAGATAGAGTAACGACATAAAAGAGAAAGGATTCGGATGAAATATACAGGATCGTATTTTGTGGTTTGCTGTACTTTCTCCATTGGATAATATGATAAATTAAAGTGTTGATAATAAATGCACTCGAGTTTAATCCTATAGGCAAATAAATTCTAATTCTCTCGAAGCTTATCATTTTACTCATAATTTACTTAACTCATAATTTTTAAATATCATAACATTAATATATTTTGTTAACTGTATTGAAATATATTTAATTGGATTTATATATATATATATATATATATATATATATATATATATATATATATATATATATATATATATATATATATATATATATATATATAAAATGAACATATATTTTAAAAATAAATATTTAAATATTAGCAAAACAATACAAATATTGGTTACGATCGATCTACATAGCTAATAACCGTGATATTTTTGTGTCAAGGCAATAAACTGTTAGGTCATGATGTTCATTATACATAATAATTAAAAAGAACGAAAATTCATTAAACTTATTAATAGTATAAGACTTCGGATTTTTGGTAAATGTATAGCTTAGGCTATATAGCTTATTGACCAATTTTAATAAATGTGTGGCCATTAAATTTATGTTAATTCTAAAAGGCTACATGACTATTTAATATAATAGGTATTTATTATGTCTTTAAAGTTCGCAATTTAGAGTTCTTTTTCATATAATTTGTCAATTAAATCGTTTCACAGGTAATCGACTTTTTGGAACAGGACAACATAGATATTTTATACTTCATCGATAGATTTAATGCTCTATTGGGTAAGTAGAATTATATATTTATATTTTTGTCAGTTGAATTACAATAGTGTAACATTAGTTAATTCGAACAGCAAAGAACATTGAGTTACGAATACAGTTAAATAGCATTATATGTAAAGTTAATGTACAGAGGAATAATGTCTGAGTCCTCAGGAATGGCAACGCATGGGGGGTATCATGGGTGAAACAGTATACTCTGTTATGTCCATGATACTGCTCATGTCTATAGGCGACGGTTACCACTTTTCATCAGGTAGGCCGTCAGCTTGTTTGCTATTCTAAGTTAGATAAAAAAAAGTTATATAATAATTGATTAGATATGTTGAAAATGAAATAATGGACGAAGAAGTTGACAGTGAAAGTGATATAAGTATGGATGAAGTAATGAATGCAATGAAGATTATGAAATTTGGTAAAGCAGTGGGATTCGATAGAATATCTGCCGAAATGCTTAAAGAAGGTGGAGAAATCATTGTAGACCTGCTGTGTCTGCTGTTCAATAAATGTTGGCGGTCCGGTTGTGTTCCAGGTGACTGGAGCAAAGCTGTTATTGTGCCACTATATAAAGGCAGCGGGTCACAGCAGGAGTGCAAAAATTTCCGCGGAATAAGCCTTCTTAGTGTTGTAGGCAAATTGTATGCTAGGATTTTGATTAAAAGAGTGATGAATGAGACGGAAAGTAAAATTTGGGATGTGCAAGCAGGGTTTCGAAAGGGTATGGGATGTACGGATCAAGTCTTTTCCTTAAGGTGCATAACAGAGAAAACCTTAGCTCAACATCAGAAGGTTTTCTGCGCCTTCATTGACCTTGAAAAGGCTTATGATAGAGTGGAGAGGAATGAACTGTGGTCAACACTGGCAATGTATGGGGTGAGCAGCCATTTGATACGGGCATTCAAATCTTTATATAAGGATTCAAATGCCTGTGTCAGAATAAATGGAGTCTATACAGACTGGTTTGGCATTGAACGCGGTGTTAGACAGGGCTGTGTAGCGTCTCCTTGGCTGTTCAACCTATTTATGGACAGTTGCTTGACCGATTTGAAAGGATCTAATTGTGGATTCAGGATGAATGAGTCTCTGTTTAAGACTCTTTTATACGCTGACGACCAAGTACTTTTTGCATCGTCGGAGTATGAATTACAACAAATGGTGACTATAATGAATGAAGCGTATGCAAGAAAAGGTATGAAAATAAATGCGAAGAAGACGAAGGTAATGGTTTTTGAGAGGAATGAAAGTTTAACGGCATGCCAGATTATGATAGGAGATGAAAAAGTGGAGCAAGTGAGTGAGTTTCTATATTTAGGTTCTTTGTTTACGAGGGATGGGAAGTGTGAAAGAGATATTGAGAGGAGAGTTAAAGCGGGAAACAGTGTTAACGGTGCACTGCTCTCGATTATGTCAAGTAAAAATGTATCGAGCAAAGCTCGCCTTGCTATAATTCAAGGAGTACTGACACCAACACTCATGTATGGAAGCGAATCGTGGGTATGGCAGAAGAAGCATGAAAGTAAGATAAATGCTGTACAGATGAGAGCTTTGAGAAGTATGTGTGGTATTACTTTAAAAGATAGAGTAAGAAACAGTGTGATTAGAGAGAAGTGTGGACTGAAAGTCGATGTAGTGACCAAAATCGAAAAAGGAATGTTGCGTTGGTTTGGTCATTTGGAGAGGATGGATGAAAGAAGAATTACGAAAGAGATTTATCGAGCAAGAATGAATGGAGATGTCGGTAGGGGCCGCCCTAGACGGACGTATGTCGACCAAATAGGCGACGTGCTGAAGAAGGGCCAAATTAAAAGTACCCGTAACCGACGAGCGTGTATGACAAGATTGATGAATGTGGAAGAAGCGAAAGAGGTTTGTTTGAATCGAAGCATTTGGCGTTCCATTGTTTCTGCCTACCCTAATGGGAGACAGGCGTGACAGATATGTATGTATGATTAGATATAAGTCACAGATTATGTCAACGATATGTGTGTTTCAATAGAAATCACTTATTTTCTTATTTTTTAATGTAATGATGCCTTTTAAAAACGAATGTTTGATGATAAAAAATAAATACATGTAGTTGTCGTAATATGTATACTTAATTGACCGTAATTACATAGGCATCCAATTTGACAGGTACAGAATTTCTAAATTTCATTTCTCTTATATATTATATATTTAAGTAATTAAATATTATTAACTGTAATCGTCTTAAGCTCGCAGATAATTCGTATGAGTTAAGATAAAAACAACCCTATATATTAATAGGGAACATAACTTATCTATCTACAATATATTATGTAAATCCTCCTTTCAGTCTTAATCAAAGATTCATCTAATTGAGTAACCAATATCTGAATATCTTTATTTAGTTTTACATTTATAATATTAGTACGATAATATGAAACCCAGGGGGGAAAATATTGTTAGCAATGGGGTCTAACTGTCCTATTGCTAGCAATAGCATTGCTATTAGGTCAATCTCCATGCATTTTCTCTTGGAAACCATCGTGGTTATTCTAGTGGAATTGGTCACGATGGTCTAATTAACCTGCTTTCATTGTCACTTATCATCCCTTACTGGTGGTCCGTTAGCGTATGCCGATGGCGCAGGAGGGGTTACATACCCATTTAAAAAAATATGAAACCCAAGTACCGTCTTAAATGTTTTTTTTTTTTTTATAGAGGGAGTCCCTGTTGTTTCTAAAGCATCGAAGGGTGTACGAGTTGAACCAAGTGGAAGGGATTTCACCTCCTTCGTCAGAGACAACATTGATCTCTTCCCGAAAGATGAGTTATCCGCTCTATTTGACCAGAAGATCGCTGAAGATGACGATTTCAGGGTAGCCTTCGAGAATCTTAACAGTGATGAATGGAGGAGTATCTTTGGTGCTTTATGGGAGAGTGAAGTTTTCCTCGCTGAAGTCCAAACTTTGGCTGACAACGGAATCGATTTTGGAATTCTTATTTACGAAATTGTTGCCATTTTTGGACTCAATTAAATTTTTATTTAACTCCCGTATCGTTCAGTAATGTACATATAAATATAGAATGTAAAAATAAAACAAAATAATTTATTCACACACGTCCGATGTCTTTTAATTAGTTCACAAGTTCGTTCCCGTAACTTTGCTCCAGGACAAAGTTTTTCTCATATTTTATTAATTTCTCTTCGAAGGAAGCATCGTCCAGTGAATATCATTATAGGAAAACTAGTCGACTCATTCTGGCTTCGTATGATTAAATGATAATATTATAATAAATGGCCGTGCCTTTGCGCTAGAAAATATATTGTTAAATATATTAAATATTGAAAATTTAAGTGAGAATGTTTGTTAATCAACTTTAAATCGTGATACTTAGATTTTAAATGGTTATTCGAAATAAAAAGTGATAAGCGAAACCTAAACATGAATTACAAAATCCTATTCAACTATACCCCATTGGGGGGAAAGGGATTGTTAGTAATGGGGGTCTAACATCTCCATTGCTAGCAATGTACCCTATCAGGTCGACCTCCACGCAGTTCCCCCTGGAAACCATCGTGATTAATTCTAGTGGAATTCTTCACAATGGGCTAACTGACCTGCTCTCATCCTCACCTGTCACCTCTCACTGGTGCCCTGCCAGTGTATACCGATAGCGCAGGCAGGGTTACCATTCCATTTTCACCCATTAAAAAAAAATTCAACATACCTACTTTGTCGACTTATATTTTTTATAATATGCCATCTGGATGCCACAATATTGAATTTTGATTAAAGACATGACGTCGTTAGTGACATTAAAAATTAACAGAAATCCCTTGACGTAGGAATTATCAAAATCAGTTCACGCGTTTAGTCTTTAAAGCGTCATGAAGGAACAAACAAATGTTCATAGACTGGCAAATATATTACCATCCTTTGCGTCGCGAAGTCGAGTCGATAAATTAACTAGTCGTCCACTCAGAAATAGACTCAATAAGTATTGAATAACTATTGTATAGATATTCTAGTGCAGTGGTATAAAGTAGGTAAATGTGTATACTTATGAACTCATAATTGAAGCAAGTTTTGAAGTTCTCATGTATGATTTTAATTTTAAATTATCTTCTAAAAACTAAAACCATATGAATAAAATAGTACATACTTAGTGTAAATACAAAGTTTCAAGTACGATAAAAGTCATGATAGAATAGGGTATAATTTATAAATAAATTTTATCGATTGTACGTCTTTTAATTTTAAAATTTAAGACGTATAAAATATTTATTTATTAACTTTTTATTATGTGGTACAGTAAAAAGTTAATATTAAGTATAATAATATATATTACATAAATAAATATATAACATACATAATATACATTTAGATATATATATACATAGCTTTTTTTTTTCCGCGGGGTAGTTCCGTGCATCAGACGTGTTTTGTTTACGCTCCAAGTAATAAAATAGAAATTATTATAAAAATAAACTAGTTCCATATAAATTTCATAGAGGAATAATTCTAATGGTAGGATCTTCAAAGTGACACGGTTTACATTTACTGCAGTGAAGTATCATAGTAGAAATTAGTAAATTAATAAGTGACTTAGATCGAGTGTGATTCGTGACATTATCATCTACCCACATATTTTGGATTATATCACCTTTTTGCTCACTGGTTGTATGGATTGTTACTAATTATATTTCATAGCATTATAACATTGTGGCTCTGCATACCAGGCCTGTGAGTGAATACGGGACCAAATCGCGATTCGAACAGTTATTATTGTTGTATATACATATATATATTGCACAATTCAAAATGAATACGCTAAGGAAGAATAATATTGTCTGCGCTGGGTGCTTGAATGGTATCGAAAATAAGCGATGTTTGATCTGCAGTGCCTGTAAACAAAACTATGATTTGGAATGTGCTAATGTATCAGAGTCACGTTTCTACAACACCATGACACAGAAACATAAAGACTCCTGGAAGTGTCTCTCATGCAAGTCAAGGGTTCCAAAAAAGGACAACACAAATACTCCTATCAGACCGGAGGCAGACAACGTGACACAGAGACGCGGGGGTGGTGCGCTCTCACCGGACCGTTCTTCGGCTTCACCGGAACGTATGGCGAAGACGACTACAAATGAAATGCTGCTAAAGGAAATACGTCTTCTTCGAGATGACATGAGGGAGATGCATTTGCAGATGCAATCGTTTACCGATACTATTAGTAGTTTAAATTTAAGGATGGATGCATGTGAAAACCGATTGGATGAATTGGGTATACGTATGGATAAAATGGAACGACGCACTAGCACTGATCCCGTGTTCCAAAGTGACACATCATTGTTACAGTCGATTGAAAACTTAAAAATCGAGCTCAATGATAGGGATCAAGATTTGTTGCTCAATGACCTTCAGATCTCATGCATACCTGAACAAAAGGGAGAAAATGTCACGCATAATGTGATTAGCATAGCTAGCAAGTTGGGCATGCAGCTGACAGTGCAAGATATAACCAGTGCAGTGCGGGTCGGAAGGTTATTAGATTCTGATAATAAAGTCTCGAGTCGACCACGCTTGGTGGTGGTACGACTGGCGCGTCGCGCCCTGCGTGATCAGTTGCTCCAGGCTGCAAGGGTTCGTCGTGGTGCCACTACAGAAGGCACAGAGATTCCAGGGCCACCAACTAAATTTTATATAAACGAAAGACTGACACTAAAAAACAGACAGTTATTTCAGCGAGCACGTGAGCTTGGAGTACGCCACAACTGGCGATACGTATGGACAAGGGACGGCAAAATATTTGTAAGGCAACATCAAGGTGAGGATACACCACGGTATCGTATACGTACAGATAAAGATCTTACCAGGGTTTTTGGATCGGCGGCCGTTCAATAATAAATATCTCTTTATTATATATCTTAAATTTATTTATAAGCTATTTCCTTTAATGTTTAAACGATTTAAAGCTAAATATAATTCAGTAAGTTATAAAAATTACGAAATAGTGTATTTATGTAGATTTGCATGTGTTAATAGTATAGCCTTACCAGTGCAGTCTTACTTAAAATGTCTATCTGTATGCTATAAAAATGTACTCGTATATATATGCGGTGGTTACAGTGCCTCTTTACTATTATTTTATGTTAAGTATCAATCTTTAAATTATGAAAACAATGTGGTAATCTTAAGCATTGATCATGGAGTTTTTTTTTTACTATTGTTTTCTATTAGATGTCAACCTAGTACCTGTAAAAATAGCTTATTATATTTATATGTTCATTGTAGTGATATGTTACTGTGTTTTTTTAAGAAATATCAATCTAGATATCATATAAATAATGTTGTGTATTTGCGTATTGATTGGTGTACCTGGTTATTATTGTTTTTTATTCAATACGAGTATGAATATTTAAAAAGTGTAGTAGTGTATTTTATTAATTGGAACAATAGTTTACTATTATTTTCTGTTGCATATCGATATATAAATTATTGGGACGATTTTTTATGTATGTTCATGGATATTAATACCACATTAATAATATCTTTTGTTAAATATCAGTCGACAGGCTGCGTCCTGTATTTATATTTTGATTGTAGTGCCTACTTACAGATGTTTTTTATTAAATATCAGTTTGTAGGTTCTGGGAATAATGTGGTTAATTTATCTATGGATAATAATGTATTATCACTTCTATCCAGTAATTTATCGAGAATATTCAGATATTTTTTAACCACTTGTTATTGGAAATGCAAACATTATTGTGATAGATCTCTAATTATGTGTCAGTGTGGTTTAATGTGTGAGCAGAAATTACATAACTCTTGTAACAGATATTTGCTGCCTATCAGTAGAATTAAAATGAATAAATGTGAAGGAAATGATTAAAAAGTCAATCAGTTTTCGATTAGGTCTCATAAATATACGTTCTTTAAATACCGGTCAGGATGAGCTAGTGGCAGCAGTGAATAACTATAGACTAGATGTGTTGGCAATAAACGAAACGTGGTTAAGGAATGATCAGACGGGGCTAGCGCCTGTGATCCCGGGTTACGTTTTTAAACACAAGGCTAGAAAAACGGGTTCGAGAGGTGGAGGTGTAGGTTTTTATTACAAAAAAGGACTGCGGATACGAGTACTGCCACATCCCACTTCTGATTTAGAGCAGATGTGGGTGGAATTGCACCTTCCGGGAACTGCTCGTTTAGCTATAGGAACAGCATATAGACCAGAGTCAGTTTCGGTAGATACTGCTATTGAAAATCTTAGTAGCTCGTTGGACACTTTTTCAAGTTATGATTCAATTTATATACTCACAGACTTCAATGTAAATATAAATAATAAGGGAGCCTCGTCTACATCTGCTTTGACAACCTTTCTATTTCAACGAAATCTTTACCAACTTGTTAATGAACCAACAAGGGTGACTGATAATACTTCGTCACAAATAGATCTTGTAATTACTGATACACCGGCCATCTGCTCCGGAGTTTACGTCTATCACAACCCAAAGCTTAGCGATCATGCCATGGTGGTGGCTGAACTTAAAATGAAAAAACCACAGCGAAGTCCGCAATATATATATAAGAGGATTCTTGGCAATATTGATATGAATAGTTTTAATAGTGATCTCATCAGCTTGGACTGGGAAAGTGTAAATAAGATGACAACCTTAGACGCAAGAGTTAACCGATTTAACGAACTAATTAACACTTTATTTGATGTTCATGCTCCAATGCGAAAGATATGTATCAATAGCAATAAGCCACATCCATGGATTACCGATAACATTAAGATCATGATGAGGTAGGCTTATTTCACATTTTACATTAATAATAATAAAAACAAACCCAAACAAATGTGGCATCATCTGAAACAAATATGTACTACAAATAATGTAGACCAGTCATTGATACCAGATCATCTTATGAACCCCGACGCTGTTAACAATTTTTTTCTTGATGTTCCCATTGATCCACAAAGTAACAGAGTGAATAACAAACCCATATCAAGGAAAATGGTGAGCAATGAATTTGATATCACATCGTGTGACGAGGAGAAAATAATTAAAATAATCAATGCAGTCGATACTAAAGCTTGCGGCCA